TCAAGGAACTTTGCTTCATACAAAATGTAATTTTAGAAACGACAGCAGAATTCAAAGTTTGGCTGATAAATATAACTCAGGCAGCAGGTAAATATTCCTCAAATTGTCAATCACAGAACTCATTTCCCACCCCGTGAAGTTCCGATTGTGTTGCATGTTTGGAACCTTTCCGGGTTTTCTTTCCGTTTTCTTTTCTTGTATTTTTTTTTATAACACTGTTTTATTGGTTTTCAATATAAAGTTTTGCAACAAACCCCCGAAGTTGATATCAAATATAATTAAAAATTAACAACCGAAGAATACATGGTATCAAAAAGTATGAAGATAAACATTTTCCCATGCACAGTTTTTTTTGTATTTATATATATACTATATATATATATAGTATGTATATATTTATATCATATGTATATATAATTTTTTTACATGCAAACATTACTTATTCAAAATACAGCCACCACTAGATTGAATTTGGGATGCAGAAAATGGGAGTGTTGTACTTCAAGTTTTGGCAATTGGGAGATATTTGGGCCTTGATGGAGCTAAAGTTAGTACAAACTATGTCCCATTGAACCCAGAGAACATTCAAGTCAGGACTGATTCAAGCCTCGTTGACGACTCGGTCTCCGTTGTGCAAAAATGTCGTGGTTTTCAACTACAGACTCCATATTCAGTTGTGTTTTTCTAAAAAAAACTGGGACCTGGGAAGAAAATTGGTCTTCCAAATCGGATTTTTTTGGTTTCAAATGCAATCCTCTGACGGAGCGGGACCCCAATCGAGTACCTCGAAGGCACCGCTGTGCTTTGGATGAGACATAGTCGTGAAAGAACTTTAACTGCAACAGAGCCTTGGCTGTGCATTGACAGAGAAAGACGACGTTAAGGCTGTTTATACACCAAGCATTCATCTCCCCCACCATCGGAGAAGGGCACTGACCTCCTTCTTCTCCCACTATCTACTTACTGACCTTCCATAATGTTGCTGCTGGGATGCAACTCCCAGCGTTCCTCACCTTTGGTGAGGTGGTCTTGCCAATCGGGTTGCTACCTTGTCTTTCTTCTTTCCTTTCTTTTCTTCCACTTTCCTTCTCTGGTCTCTCTCCCCATTCTTCCTTCCTTGCTCCTTGCCTGTCTGCCTGCCCGCCCACCCATCCTCTTCCTTCCTTCCTTCCTGACATCTTTCTTCTCCTACTATCTACTTACTGACCTTCCATAACGTTGCTGCTGAGATGCAACTCTCAGCGTTCCTCACCTTTGGTGAGGTGGTCTTGCCAATCGGGTTGCTACCTTTTCTTTCTTCTTTCCTTTCTTTTCTTCCACTTTCTTTCTCTGGTCTCTCTCCCCATTCTTCCTTCCTTGCTCCTTGCCTGTCTGCCTGCCCGCCCACCCTTCCTTCCTTCCTTCCTTCCTTCCTTCCTTCCTTCCTCTCCTTCCTTCCTTCCTTCCTTCCTTCCTTCCTTCCTTCCTTCCTTCCTTCCTTCCTTCCTGACATCTTTTTTCTCCTACTATCTACTTACTGACCTTCCATAACGTTGCTGCTGGGATGCAACTCCCAGCGTTCCTCACCTTTGGTGAGGTGGTCTTGCCAATCAGATTGCTACCTTTTCTTTTTTCTTTCCTTTCTTTTCTTCCACTTTCCTTCTCTGGTCTCTCTCCCCATTCTTCCTTCCTTGCTCCTTGCCTGTCTGCCTGCCCGCCCACCCGTCCCCTCCCTCCTTCCTTCCTTCCTTCCTTCCTTCCTTTTCTTCCTTCCTGACATCTTTCTTCTCCCACTATCTACTTACTGACCTTCCATAACGTTGCTGCTGGGATGCAACTCCCAGCGTTCCTCACCTTTGGTGAAGTGGTCTTGCCAATCGGATTGCTACCTTTTCTTTCTTCTTTCCTTTCCTTTCTTCCACTTTCCTTCTCTGGTCTCTCTCCCCATTCTTCCTTCCTTGCTCCTTGCCTGTCTGCCTGCCCGCCCACCCGTCCTCTTCCTTCCTTCCTTTCCTTTCTTCCTTCCTTTCCTTCATTCCTACACCTTCCCTTCCGCTCCTTTCTTCTTCCTTCTTTCCTTCCTACTATCTACTTACTGACCTTCCATAACGTTGCTGCTGGGATGCAACTCCCAGCATTCCTCACCTTTGGTGAGGTGGTCTTGCCAATCAGATTGCTACCTTTTCTTTTTTCTTTCCTTTCTTTTCTTCCACTTTCCTTCTCTGGCCTCTCTCCCCATTCTTCCTTCCTTGCTCCTTGCCTGTCTGCCTGCCCGCCCACCCGTCCCCTTCCTTCCTTCCTTCCTTCCTTCCTTCCTTCCTTCCTTCCTTCCTTCCTTCTTCCTTCCTGACATCTTTCTTCTCCCACTATCTACTTACTGACCTTCCATAACGTTGCTGCTGGGATGCAACTCCCAGCGTTCCTCACCTTTGGTGAAGTGGTCTTGCCAATCGGATTGCTACCTTTTCTTTCTTCTTTCCTTTCCTTTCTTCCACTTTCCTTCTCTGGTCTCTCTCCCCATTCTTCCTTCCTTGCTCCTTGCCTGTCTGCCTGCCCGCCCACCCGTCCTCTTCCTTCCTTCCTTCCTTCCTTCCTTCCTTCCTTCCTTCCTTCCTTCCTTCCTTCCTTCCTTCCCTTTCTTCCTTCCTGACATCTTTTTTCTCCTACTATCTACTTACTGACCTTCCATAACGTTGCTGCTGGGATGCAACTCCCAGCGTTCCTCACCTTTGGTGAGGTGGTCTTGCCAATCAGATTGCTACCTTTTCTTTTTTCTTTCCTTTCTTTTCTTCCACTTTCCTTCTCTGGCCTCTCTCCCCATTCTTCCTTCCTTGCTCCTTGCCTGTCTGCCTGCCCTCCCTCCCTCCCTCCCTTTCCTTCCTTCCTTCCTTCCTTCCTTCCTTCCTTCCTTCCTTCCTTCCTTCCTTCCTTCCTTCCTTTTCTTCCTTCCTGACATCTTTCTTCTCCCACTATCTACTTACTGACCTTCCATAACGTTGCTGCTGGGATGCAACTCCCAGCGTTCCTCACCTTTGGTGAAGTGGTCTTGCCAATCGGATTGCTACCTTTTCTTTCTTCTTTCCTTTCCTTTCTTCCACTTTCCTTCTCTGGTCTCTCTCCCCATTCTTCCTTCCTTGCTCCTTGCCTGTCTGCCTGCCCGCCCACCCGTCCTCTCCCTTCCTTCCTTCCTTCCTTCCCTTTCTTCCTTCCTGACATCTTTTTTCTCCTACTATCTACTTACTGACCTTCCATAACGTTGCTGCTGGGATGCAACTCCCAGCGTTCCTCACCTTTGGTGAGGTGGTCTTGCCAATCGGATTGCTACCTTTTCTTTCTTCTTTCCTTTCCTTTCTTCCACTTTCCTTCTCTGGTCTCTCTCCCCATTCTTCCTTCCTTGCTCCTTGCCTGTCTGCCTGCCCGCCCACCCGTCCTCTTCCTTCCTTCCTTCCTTCCTTCCTTCCTTCCTTCCTTCCTTCCTTCCTTTCTTCCTTCCTGACATCTTTTTTCTCCTACTATCTACTTACTGACCTTCCATAACGTTGCTGCTGGGATGCAACTCCCAGCGTTCCTCACCTTTGGTGAGGTGGTCTTGCCAATCGGACTGCTACCTTGTCTTTCTTCTTTCCTTTCTTTTCTTCCACTTTCCTTCTCTGGTCTCTCTCCCCATTCTTCCTTCCTTGCTCCTTGCCTGTCTGCCTGCCCGCCCACCCATCCTCTTTCTTCCTTCTTTCCTTCCTTCCTTCCTTCCTTCCTTCCTTCCTTCCTTCCTTCCTTCCTTCCTTCCTTCCTTTCCTTTCCTCCCTCCCTTCCTTTTTTCTTTCCCTCCTCCCCTACCTTTCTTCTTTCTTTCCTTCCTTCCTTCCTTCTTCCTTCCTTCCTTCCTTCCTTCCTTTTTCCTTCCTTCCTTTCCTTTCCTTCCTCCCTCCCTCCTTTTTTTCTTTCCCTCCTCCCCTTCCTTTCTTCTTTCTTTCTTTCTTTTTTCTTTTCTTTCTTTTCTTCTTTCTTTCTTTCTTTCTTTCTTTTTCTTTCTTTCTTTTTCTTCTTTCCTTCCTTCCTTCCTTCCTCCCTCTCCCCGTTTCCCCACTTTCTCCCCCCCACTTCCTCCTTTTTCTTTCTTCCTTCTTCCCTGCCTTCCTTCTTTCCTACCTGTGCTTCTCATGTTTAGCCTGAAGAAGAGATGGCTGAGAGGAGATATGATAGCCATGTATAAATATGTGAGAGGAAGCCACAGGGAGGAGGGAGCAAGCTTGTTTTCTGCTTCCCTGGATACTAGGATGCGGAACAATGGCTTCAAACTACAAGAAAGGAGATTCCATCTGAACATGAGGAAGAACTTCCTGACTGTGAGAGCCGTTCAGCAGTGGAACTCTCTGCCCCGGTGTGGTGGAGGCTCCTTCTTTGGAAGCTTTTAAACAGAGGCTGGATGGCCATCTGTCAGGGGTGATTTGAATGCAATATTCTGCTTCTTGGCAGGGGGTTGGACTGGATGGCCCATGAGGTCTCTTCCAACTCTTTGATTCTATGATTCTATGATTCAACTGACTGCCTGCCTGAGTGTTTGTCTACCTGCTTGCTTATTAGGTTGGTGCATTCAAGGTGAACCTTGACCCATTTCGTGTCCCTGCTTTTGGTGGGGCCCCGATCCAATTTTTGCAAGCCTCCTGAATTTGGGAAGGCAGATATCTGTTTTGACTCTGGGGTGCCGAAAGATCCATTTTCTATCAGCGTCATGGGCTCCCCTTCCCATCATTTTAAGCCTTTAAGCTATTTCTACTCTAGAGGAGAGGTGCTCTGCTATAGGCAGGCACATGTTTTAAGAAGGCCTCTTTCCTGTTCCTACTCTAGAGGGGAGGCGCTTAGCTGCAGGCAGGCACGCTTTCTCTCCCATGCCTGCACACCACACACTCTTTCCAAGGCAAGGAGGCAAGTTCTCAAAGCTATTTCTTACTCTAGGGGAGAGGCGCTTGGCTGCAGACAGGCATGCACACTTTAAAGAAGCTTCTTGTTCTTAAAGTTGTCTACTCTAGAGAGAGGTGCTGGCATGTGCACACGCTTTCTCTCCCGGGCTGCACCACACCAGCAGTCACACACTCTTTCCAAGGCATTTTAAGGAGGCTTCCCACGTCCAGGTAAGGAAGAGTGATGACATCCTGGATGAGAAGAGGTAACTGGTAGTAGTTTTCAGGGAATGAGGGTTTTCCTTTTGTTTGCTGGGAGATTAATAAAAAAGATTAAACTGTGATGCCGAAAAGCAGTGGAGGAGCCAAGATTGGCTCCCACTTGTTGCTATTATTATTATTATTATTATTATTATTATTATTATTATTGTCAGACAAGTTTTCGTAGTGGGAGGGCCCTGACTGTTATGGGCTCCTGAAGTACTGAAGCTACCAAAAAAAATGAGGGAAATAGAAGAAACTAATTCCGCACACAAGTCTATTGCCTACCTGCATGCTTTCCTGCTTGCTTATCAGCTTGCCAGCCTGCTTTCCTGCTTGCTTGCCAGGTTGCCTGTCTTTAGTTTGCCAGATTGCCTGCCTGCCTGCCTGTTTGCATGCCTTCCTGCTTGCCTGCTTGCTTAACTGCCTTCCTGTCAGCTTGCTTGCTTACTAGATTGCCAGCATGCCTACTTGCCTGTTTGTCTGCTTGCCAGCATGTTTGCTTACCAGCTTGCCAGCCTGCCTGTTTGCATGCCTTCCTGCTTGCTTGCCTGCTTGCTTACCTGCCTTCCTGTCAGCTTGTTTGCTTACTGGATAGCCAGCATACCTACTTGCCTGTTTGTCTGCTTGCCAGCATGCTTGCTTACCAGCTTGCTAGCATACCTGCCTGCCTGTTTGCTTGCTTGCCAGTGTGTTTGCTTATCAGCTTGCCAACCCACCTGCCTGCCTGTTTGCCTGCTTGTTGCTTACCAGCTTGCCAACCTGCCTGCCTGTTTGCTTTCTTGTTGCTTACCAGCTTGCCAACCTGCCTGCCTGTTTGCCTGCTTGTTGCTTACCAGCTTGCCAACTTACCTGCCTGCCTGTTTGCCTGCTTGTTGCTTACCAGCTTGCCAACCTACCTGCATGCCTGTTTGCTTTCTTGTTGCTTACCAGCTTGCCAACCTGCCTGCTTGTTTGCCTGTTTGTTGCTTACCAGCTTGCCAACCTACTTGCCTGCCTATTTGCCTGCTTGTTGCTTACTAGCTTGCCAACCTACCTGCCTGTTTGCCTGCTTGTTGCTTACCAGCTTGCCAACCTACCTGCCTGTTTGTCTGCTTGTTGCTTACCAGCTTGCCAACTTGCCTGCCTGTTTGCCTGCTTGTTGCTTACCAGCTTGCCAACCTGCCTGCCTGCTTGTTGCTTACCAGCTTGCCAACCTACCTGCTTGCCTGTTTGCCTGCTTGCTTGCTTACCAGCTTGCCAACCTACCTGCTTGCCTGCTTGCTTACCAGCTTCCTACCTACCTATTTGCCTGCTTGTCAGCTTTCTTGCTCACCTGCCTTCTTGCCAGGCTGTCTGCCTTGCCATGCATTTCTTGCTTCTTTCCTTCCATAATTTTCTCCTCCCTTCCCTTCTTCCCTTCCCTTCCTTCCTTCCTTCCTTCCTTCCTTCCTGCCTTCCTTCCTTCTTTTTTCTTTCTTTTTTGCCTTCCCTAATTTTTCCTTCCTTCCTGTAATGGAAGTTCATATTCTTACCACATCGCTCAAAGCTCGCTTCCAACTAGCTAGCTCTGAAGTGCGTTAAATGGCCAGTGTAGATGGGGGCTTGCTTTGTGGCTACGAACCCCATCCCTTTCAGTGGGTCTGTCACATTAAACGGACACATACAAAGATGGGGAGGAGAGACTGGAATTAATCGAGAGACCATTACGAAGAAAAAAAAGCCATTTGCCTTCATTTCGTATTGATTGCATGCACGGTTGGAGGAGTGTTTCCACCCCACGATCTCCTGGAGTCGAATGGAATCGTCTTAGAAAAAGTTTTCCTGTTTTTTTAAAAAAATTCCCCCCAAGAAAAGTTATTGTGCCTTTGACAGAGTAAAATGTAGAAAACATTTGGTCACGGTCATGCTGTCGCCTGAAACAGGAGGGGGAGAACCCAGCAGGGAAAGCTCCAGAATGGATGACGAGGAGTCTGTATCTACTTTTTTTGCTCATTGGCCTCTCTTCCCTCCCAACTTGCCCGCTCGGATTGGTTTCCATTTGTGAAAAAGCTTCTTCCTGTTGCATAGCCCTACAACATTGTTGTTGGTGGTTTCGAGAAGAACAAAAAAAGAAATCACATCCACAATCCATAAACAACAGATCCTCCTGGCTTCACAAACTTGCCCTGTCCTGTCCTGGAAGAAGACACCAATTTGCATCACTTTGCATATGCCATTTCATATGTCGAGATGCAAATGCATAAATAATGACGAACATCAGACCTGTAAAAAGTACAGGGTGTGGGCCACATGCAGTTCCAGAGCCCCAGAAAGCATTCAAACCATTCAACCTCATACTTCTATTTGTGTTTGAATCCTTCTCAACATAGCACCCAAATGTGATCTCACATCCAGTTGCCATCTTGAGAAGGACTTGGTTGGATGTAGGATTGTATCTAGGGCCACTGTTGGGGTTGCAATGCACAAAAGGGAGGATTGCCAAGCTTCCATGCGGTTGTCCACTCATGATTTGGATAGAATATGTCTTCCAACCCAATGAACCTTTGTGCCCAATGGGCCACTACAAGGAACCAAGGCTTCCCCCATTCCCGGGACGCCTAAGATTGCTTTCAATCCCAGTCTCACAAGCAGAGGGAGAAGAGAGAAGGTCCCTCGGCAGATCCCAAATTTCCACACGGAAATGTGGATTCCTTAGAAAGAGAAAAGGGAGCAGCAAGAGGATGTTCAAAGCATAGGGATGAGATCAATTGGAGGACAGAAATAAAGAAAACACATTTGGAATGTGTGTGTATGGCCTTCCGTTGCCTTGCTCTGCTCCGGTTGTATTGCGGAAAGAGCATCTCTTGGAACTTTAAAGTTTGCACTCAATCTCAAAACGGATGCGTTCTCCTATTCGCTTCAAAGTCATACCTATAGGTATTTTGATATTACAATTTGGGATTCTCAAATCGTATCAAGGACCTCCTCAAAGTCTATATGACGGGTATGGGCAAACAAAAATGTGGAAGGGAAGGATTGCCATTGTAAACCGCCCTGAGTCGCCTAAGGGCTGAGAAGGGCAGTATACAAATATAATAAATAAATAAACAAATAAATAAATAATTGAAGGGAGGAAGGAAAGGAGGAAGGAAAGAGGAAAGGAAGGAAAAATGAAAGGGAGGAAAGTAATAATGGACAGAGAAAGAGGGAGGGAGGTAAGAAGGAAGGAAAGAGATAAGGAACAAAGGACAAAAAAGGAAGGAAGGACAAAAATTTGGAAGGGAAGGATGGAAGGAAGGAAGGGAAGGAGGAAGGAAAAAGAGAAAGAAGGGTGAAAGGGAGGAAGGGAAGGATGGACAGAGAAAGAGGGAGAGAGGGAAGGAGGGAGGTAGGGAGGAAGGAAAGAGAGAAGGAAGGACAAAAGTGTGGAAGGGAAGAATGGAAGGAAGGAAGGAAAGGAGGAAGGAAAGAGAGAAGGAAGAACGAAAGGGAGGAAGGGAAGGATGGAAGGAAGAACGGAAGGAGGAAGAAAAGAAAGAAGGAAGGAAGGACAAAAAGGTGGAAGGGAATGGAGGGAGGGAGAAAGAGGGAAGGAAGTAAAGACAAAAGGGAAGGAAAGAAGGAAGGAACAAAGGAAGGAGAAAGAAGGAAAGATGGATGGAAGTGTGGAAGGGAAGGAAGGAAGGACAAAGAGGGAAATAAGGACGTGAGGGAGGGAAATAGGAAGAAATTAGAGAAGGAAGAAAAGACAAAGAGAAACGAAGGACTGATGAAAAGGTGGAAGAAAGGAAGGGAAGAAGGAATGAAAGAGTGAAGAAAAGGAAGAAGAGTGGCTGGAAGGTAGGGAAGAAAGAAGGAAAGAGAGAAGGAAGGAAGGAAGGAAATGGAGGGAGGGAGGGAGGAAGAAAGAGGGAGGGAAGGGAGAAGACAAAAGGGAAGAAAGGGAGGATGGAAGGAAGGAAGGAGAAAGAGGGAAGGAGAAGGAAAGAGGCAAGGAAGGAAGGACAAAAGAGTGGAAGTGAAGGAAGGATGGAGGGAGAAAGAGGGAGGAAAGGAGGAAGGAAAAAGAGAAGGAAGGAAAGGATGTTGAGACAGAGGAGGGCCTGAGAAAAGAGCCCAAGGGGCCACATCCGGCCCCTGGGCCTGGGTTTGCCCATGCCTGCTATACAAACTTTCTGAAGTAGCCTTTGATGCTTTTTTCCTCTTCTTTCCACTAGCAGTTCTGATTCTGAATCATTTTTTGCTCAATAAAAAGCCCTGCAGCAACACCTAGTGTCCATATAACGCACCAACTTTTAGAAAAATAAAGCGGGATAGCTTTCGCAAAGAACTCATCCCAATTGCTCTCATAGAAAAAAACAAAACTATAATGTGATATTCTGAACCAGCACCCCAAATAATCTCGGGAACAGGCCTAAAAATGAAGACACCAAGAAAGAAATTCTTTTTGGTTGGGCTGTGTTATTCTCTGTGGATTTTGGAGCGTGAGACCCAAGAAACTGTCTCTAACAGCTTTCTTTCACCTCTTCGCCATGAACGCATGGCTATGAGGAAGGCTGTGGTCAATATTTTAGTTTTTAGTTCTTGCAGACCAATGGTGGTCTGAGGACCACAGGTTGGGAAGCATTGGTCTAGAGGACAGGAGAAGTCCAAACAGATTGCAAGAGGGCAAATGTTGCATCTATTTATAGACTGTCCCCAAATGGATCCTTTTTCATATCAGGACATGACCTCTGGTTCGCTTATAAAACCTCTTCCTGGACCTAAAACATGGGGGTGCAGGTGGGGTAGGGAAATCGCCCCATAGATTAATGGGGAATTTTTAAAGCTTTCAAAACATGATGGATAGACAAGGCTGCTGTAATAGAAAACAGCAGTATGCAACTCCAACAAGTGCTCTCCCCTGCCCTGTATTATATCATTAGGATACCCTTACACCTCTTAGCATAGAACATGCACTTAGCATGGCTGAGACATCAATGTTCAGAGCTTCTTCCTTCCTTAAAGGGGAACAACATGCGGGGAACTGGTGAGAGAGTGGCAGCCTCTTTGGGTCACCCGAAACCCTTTGCGGTGCTGTAGACGGCCCGCGGGTTGTCTGCTGTGCAAGTCCGCCCACAGGTCTTTCAGGTGTATACTCAGTCCCAACTCCTTGACCACACAATGTATGATCCCTATATTGTCATGGCCGGAATCACTGAGTTGTTGTAGGTTTTTCCGGGCTATATGGCCATGTTCTGGAGGCATTCTCTCCTGACGTTTCACCTGCATCTATGGCAAGCATCCTCACTACCTCTGAGGATGCTTGCCATAGATGCAGGCGAAACGTCAGGAGAGAATGCCTCCAGAACATGGCCATATAGCCCGAAAAACCCTACAACAACCCTATGATCCCTATATTAACACAGATCTGTTTTTTTGGGCATCCATACATTGCATCCTCCGAAAATTATAACTTCTCATAGAACTTTTCACTACATCTTTCTTAGAAGTCCATTTTGTCACTACCGCCTCTCTCTCATCTGTTCAGTCTCCAAGTTATACAGTAGAGTCTCGCTTATCCAACATAAATAGGCCGGCAGTATGTCGTATAAATGAAAATGTCGGATAGTATGGAAACTTGAACTGTTACTCATTCGACACGGTGCTAGATACCTAGAATACTAACAGGGAATCAAAGAGTTAAAGCAAGGCAACGCCTCAGGGCTAGAGTGGCCAAGCAGGAAGTGCCCAGATGTGGAAGAGGGAGGGAAGGAGGGAGGACGCTTCCACTTCCGGTCCTGCCTCTTTTCCTCCTTTCCTCCCTCCTCCTCCTCGTCCTCCTCGTCCTCCTCCTCCTCCTCCTCCTCCTCCTTGTCTTGCTTTTTTTGCTTATTGGGAATGGAGAGAGAGTTGGGGAGCGCTCCTTTAATTGAAGGGGAAATGCTGGAGGAAAAGGGGGGTGTCGGATGAGAACGTCGGATAAGACAGAATGTCGGATAGGTGAAGGTCGGATAAGTGAGACTCTACTGTATTGCCCCTTTCAGGTTGAATCTCTACTCACAATGATGGGACAGGCCTCTGAACATCTTTGTTTCATTAATAATATCATCCCCAGGTTTGCGACGAGCATGTGCATATACAGAAATACACACATACACCAAAGAAAAAAGCCAACACACACATGCATGCACACATGCACACGGATCAAAGAAAAAGAGAAACAAAACCAAAACAGAAATCTCATCCCTGAGAATCGGAATTAGGTTCCCTCCCTTCTCTATCTCACCTCTCTCACAGAGCTGAAGGTCCCCCTCCAATTGCCCTTGATATGAACAACATTCGGAGCCTAGTCTGCAACCAAGTGAAGAGCAAATCCAGCGCAAAAGGGTCTCACTTTCTCGCAAAAGTATGGTTGTTTGACCTGAAAATCTCTGGTTACGACAACATCTCAACGTTTTGACCCTCCCTGCTGATAGCTTTCCAACCTGGTACAACAAAAAGATTCGCTCTGCTCCGAATCGAGCTCAGAGCCCTTCCAAAACAGCTTCCCCACCCCATAATGTGGGACATTATCTTCCCTGCCTCTCTTCTCATGTCCTCAATGATGCGTCCTCAACATTAGACTGCATCGTCACTGTGAGAGATTCTCAAGGTTAGGCACTTAAGAAGTGAAGAACTGGCGCCTCCAGTAAGAAAAAACAACAACGGTAGGGCTGGAATGACAACCGGATTAGTTCTCTACAGTGGAGGACTGTGTTTTTTTGTTTGTTTCATTTGCTTCTTCTTTTACTGCACGTTTTACCAAAAAGAATGCACACAATGGAAAGTTAAAGTTTATCTAATCGCTCGATAGAAAACCTGCGTTACATTGCCTTCGCCTGCCACTCCCCTGCTTTCCCTCTCCTGGTTTTCCCCCCTCTTGTCTTCGCACAAACACGGATTTGTAAACAAGATGAAGTGATCAAAGAGTCATCTTGTGTTCACACAGAGGAGATCTCAAAGAAGTTAGCCGCAGGGAGCAGCAGCTTGGAAGCTGTCCTTGCCCCAAAACTGCTCCCCTTGGGAACGTCCCAACACATTGACCTCAATGTGAAAATGAAACAAAGGAATCCAACGGATCATGAATGGCAACTTGGTGCTTCTTGTTGTGTTTCTGGCTCCATTGAAAAGGATTGTTGGTCAGCGAGGAAGAAGCCCACATGTCTAGGTGAGCAACCTCCCTACTGAGAAAGAGTGGAGAAGAGAAACCAGCTTCTGGAGTTTGGGTACAAGTGTCTTCTCCTTCCCACTAACTGTGAAGAGGTTCTAGTACCAGGAAGGTCCACAGAACCAAGTTTGGGCTTCCTCCCTCTTGGTTCTTTGCTTTCATGACAGGTTTGTCATCTGGGTGGGCAGGCAAGGGAAGAAGTTGACCTCGATGAGGCAAAGATGGAGCAAAGTGGGAGCCAGCTCCTCCCACCTTGGCCTTCCAAGGAATGGACTTTCCTCCTCCAATTTGATCAAGCGCTCTCTAGTGCCCAAAAAGAGATGAGGTGCTACCAGAGAGGCAGGTGTCATCTCCCATGGTCTTGTAGGTGCATTGTAGGGCAGTCGTCTTGGTGTGTGTGGGTTTTCCACAAGGAGGGACTTGTCGCCTCCTCTTTCCCCTTCCAGCCCAGATACCATGGGGCTGAGCATGCGTGCAAGCACAGACACGGAGCTTCCTCGATGATAAAACTCATCAATTCCCAGTGCGCAGAGAATGGGTTTGTTCCTGCTAGCACCAATCATCTTCGTCTCGTTCGTGGTAATAGCTACGCGCCCGGGTGCTTCCCCCAGGGCCAGCGCTGAGACCCAAGGTATAGTGGAATCCATTGGGGACTCTACGGATTTGATGGGATTGGGACGTCAGCGAGGAGACGTAAGATGTCCGAGAGGACCTTCCTGAATTCGTGGCAAGGGCCTCCTCGAAGGTGAGCGTGTCCTCAGGCACCACATGGTAGGGGCTGTCGCTGTCCTCCCGATGGACCAGGTAAGGGTCCGAACCGATCCGCGCCACCAGGGTCTGCGAGGAAGGGCCCTGGGAGTCACCATGCAGCAAAGCGTTGTGCTCAGAGAGGCCCCGGCTCAGGCGTCCCGGGGAGAAGGTCGGCAGGCCAGTCTGGTAACCCGAGAAGTGCACTGGCGAGGAATTGGCGGTCTTGTACGTGATGCTGGGGCGCGGGGTCAGCGGCGTCTGCGGCAGCTGTCTCCGGCCGCGGCACGGGGTGCTAGCACCAGAGGTCGACAGCAAGGGGCTCCCATTAACTGAGCCACTGCCCTACATGAAAATTGGAACAAAGCAAATGAACAAAAAGAACGGGAAAAAAATAATAACCGGGGTGGGGAAAAGGCAAAAGAAAACATACCGGACAAACACGAAGGCACATGGTAGAGTGGGTGGGTGGGTGGGTAGGTAGGGGGCAACCAAACAACAGAAGAACAAGTGACGTGAATGAAAGGGCATGTCAGAAGATGAAAGAAAAAGCAAAGGAGAGAGTTTAGACGGGCACAATCAGGGAATGAGGGGAGGAGGTGGTTAAGGAACAATCTAGACCAGCATTTCCCAACCTGGGAGTCGGGACCAGTGAAGGGTTGCGAGCAGGTTTCAGAGGGGTCACCAAAGACTATCAGAAAACATATATTTCTGATGGTCTTAGGAGCCCCTTTGGTAGAGAAGATTCAAGGTCTCTCCGCCTGTCCTTCTCTTCCTTTTTGGAAATAGACGGCGAATCTTCCCACTAAAAGCCCTCCTCCACTGTGATTGGCCAGTCTCTCAGCTGGCCTCTCAGAAGGGGAGGGCTGTTTCTGAGACCCCAAGCGAGGAGGGGAGAGCAGGCATGCTCAGCGCATGGCAGGGTGGTGAGCATGTGTGTGTGAGGGAGAGAGTGTGAGGCTGGAGGGAAGCTCATGCCAGCAAGTCCTATCAAGGCATAGGGCAGTGGTTCTCAACCTGAGGGTCGCAACCCCCAGGGGGGTCGTTGGGCCATTTTTGGGGGGTCGCGAAGGTGCCTTGGATGGCCCCGCCCCCTCCAAAATGGCTGCCGACCCCCCTCTGGATCAGCTCCTCTTCCTGCTCTTCCCACAGGGCTGGGAAGGGTGCAGGGGGGAGGCAGAGTGCTGCCTTCATGGCACTGCCATTTGGGCAGCCTTTCTGCCTGACCCGCATGCCTTTCCCAATTGGGAAGGGTGCAGGGGGGAGGCGGAGGGCTGCCTTCACGGCGCTGCCATTTCCAGCAACTGCAACTCCCAAATGTCAAGATCTGTTTTCCCCCAACTCCACCAGTGTTCAAATTTGGGCATATTGAGTATTTGTGCCAAGTTTGGTCCAAATGCACAGTTGTTTGGGTTCACAGTGCTCTCAGTATGTAGGTGAACTACATATCCCGTAAATCATAGTAAATTCCTCCCAAATTCCTCCAGTATTTTCTGTTGGTCATTAGGGTTCTGTGTGCCAAGTTTGTTCCAGGGTTATAATTTGTGGGGGTCTCAGTGGTCTGTGGAAGTCAGAGCCGAATCTGTTGAAGTTACTGCAAATCCCATCATCCATTGTCCACACTCCTGAGCATACTGTTTTTGTGATCAATCACTATGCTTTAATTATGTTAAATTTGTAACAATGAAAATAATCCTGCATATCAGATATTTCAATTATGCATCATAAGAGTAGCAAAATTACTGTTATGAAGTAGCAACGAAAATATGGTTGGGGGTCACCAAAACATGAGGAACTTTATTTAGGGGTCATGGCATTAGAAAGGTTGAGAACCACTGGCATAGGGATTCTGTGTGGGAAGTTTAGCCCGATTCTATCATTGGTAGGGTTCAGAATGCTCTCTGATTGTAGGTGAACTATAAATCCCAGCGACTACAACTCGTAAATGTGAAGGTCAATTTCCTCCAAACTCCACCAGTGTTCACATTTGGGAAGATTGGGTATCCGTGCCAAGTTTGGTCCAGATCCATCATTGTTCGGTCCCACAGTGCTCTCTGGGTGTAGGTGAACTACAACTCCCAAACTCAAGGTCAAGGCCCACCAAACCCTTCTAGTGTTTTCTGTTGGTCATGGGAGTCCTGTATGCCCCGGTTGATTCTATTCTATAATGCTATTTGATTGTAGGTGAACTATAAATCCCAGCAACTACAACTCACCCTATCTATCTATCTATCTATCTATCTGTCTATCTATCTATCTATCTATCTATCTATCTGAACTACAACTCCAAAACTCAAGGTCAATGCCTACCAAACCCTTCCAGTATTTTCTCTTGGTCATGTGAGTTCTGTGTGCCAAGATTGGTTCAATTCCATCATTGGTGAAGTTCAGAATGCTCTTTGATTGTAGGTGAACTATAAATCCCAGCAATGAGAACTCCCAAATGTCAATGTCTATTTCCTCCAAACTCCACCAGTGTTCACATTTGGGAAGATTGTGTATCCGTGCCAAGTTTGGTCCAGATCCATCATTGTTTGATCCCTCAGTGCTCTTTGGATGTAGGTGAACTACAACTCCAAAACAAAGACAATGCACACCCTACCCTTCCAGTATTTTCTGTTGGTCATTTTCAAGTTTGCTTCAATTCCATCGTTGGTATAGTTCAGAATGCTCTTTGATTCTAGGTGAATTATAAATCCAAACAGAAAATACTGTGTTTTCTGATGGTCTTTGGTGACCCCTCTGGATTCCCCCTCGTGACCCCCCAGGGGTCCCGACCCCCAGGTTGAGAAACGCTGATCTAGACCCAGGAAACCAAAGACAGGAAAAATAGAAGAACATAGAAGCATAGGGACATAGGAAGCTGAAAGACCCCAAAGAGCTACATGCCATCAACTGGAAGTTATTGTGGCTGACAATTTCCATGTGAGTAGAGTGGTGAATCTACTCAGGGTTTTAAAGAGCTATCCATGGTTCTGGCCCTATTTGGGGGATAGGATACCACTGTTGCTTGCTCATCCTAATTTTTCAAAAACACTTCGACATGTAACATGAAAATGGGACAGAACTATAGCAGTACCATTCCAGACCATGTAATTCCATGGCTGGGACCACTGATGATGTCATTGGAATGAGACATCAAGCATGAGCTACAGAATGTCATTCAAGCAAGCAAGCAAACAAAACAAGATCTGTATTGTCGAAGGCTTTCATGGCCGGAATCACTGGGTTGTTGTAGGTTTTTTCGGGCTATATGGCCATGTTCTAGAGGCATTCTCTCCTGACGTTTTGCCTGCATCTATGGCAAGCATCCTCAGAGGTAGTGAGGTCTGTTGGAACTAGGAAAAAGGGTTTATATATCTGTGGAATGACCAGGGTGGGACAAAGGACTCTTGTCTGCTGGAGCTAAGTGTGAATGTTTCAACTGACCACCTTAATTAGCATTTGATGGCCTGGCAGTGCCTGGGGCAATATTTTGTTGAGAGGCAAATAGCTGTCCCTGATTGTTTCCTCTCTGTTGTTTTTCTGTTGTACTTTTAGAGTTTTTTTTATAATACCGGTAGCCATATTTTGCCAATTTTGGATTTATATATCTGTGGAATGACCAGGGTGGGACAAAGAACTCTCGTCTGCTGGAGCTAGGTGTGAATGTTTCAACTGACCACCTTGATTAGCATTTGATAGCCTGGAAGTGCCTAGAGCAATCTTTTGTTGAGAGGTGATTAGATGCCCCTGATTTTTTTCCCTCTGCTGTTTTGCTGTTTTAATTTTAGTTGGCCAGTTGAAACATTCACACCTAGCTCCAACAGATAAGAGTTCTTTGTCCCACCCTGGTCATTCCACAGATATATAAACCCAAAATAGGCAAAATCTGACTACCAGTATTAAAAAAACTCTAAAAGTACAACAGAAACCGGTTTACCTCTCCGAACGTATTCTCCCCTACGAACCATCAAGATTACTAAGATCGTCTGGAGGGGCCCTGCTCTCAGTCCCGCCGGCCTCACAAGCGCGGCTGGTGGGGACGAGGGACAGGGCCTTCTCGGTAGTGGCCCCGCGACTCTGGAACTCTCTCCCACCAGAGGTTAGAACCGCCCCAACAATCCTGACATTCAGGAAACAGGTGAAGTCGTGGTTATGGAGACAGGCCTTCGAAGAATGAGACAATGATCTGGATGGAAGACGGTGTACATTCGATTTTAGTATGACGACTGACCACTGCAGTTTTAAATATATGTGCTTTTTTAATGTTTCATTGTAATGTGTATTTTGATATTTTACCGATTGTATGTGTTTTTATGGTTGGAAACCGGGCTGAGTCCCTCTTATGAGGTGAGAAGCTCGGTATAAAAAACTTTGAAATAAATAAATAAATAAATAAATATTCTTAAGAAACAAAAAGGACATCTAATAACCTCTCAACAAAAGATTGCCCCAGGCACTGCCAGGCCATCAAATGCTAATCAAGGTGGTCAGTTGAAACATTCACACCTAGCTCCAGCAGACAAGAGTTCCTTTGTCCCACCCTGGTCATTCCACAGAGACATATAAACCCAATTTTCCTAATTCCAACAGACCTCGCTACCTCTGAGGATGCTTGCCATAGATGCAAACATCCTCAGAGGTAGTGAGGTGTTTTAATTTTAGAGTTTTTTTAATACTGGTAGCCAGATTTTGTTCATTTTGTTCATTCAACTGATCAGCTTCGATGTGGTGTCTCTATTTACCATGGTCCCGGTAGCAGACACCACATCTGGCTACCTGTATTAAAAAAACTAGGAAAATGGGTTTGGAACTAGGAAAATGGGTTTATATATCTGTGGAAAGACCAGAGTGGGACAAAGGACTAGCTACGAGTATTAAAAAACTCTAAAATTAAAACAGCAAAACAGCAGAGGGGAAACAATCAGGGACATCTAATCACCTCTCAACAAAAGATTGCTCCAGGCACTTCCAGGCTATCAAATGCTAATCAAGGTGGTCAGTTGAAACATTCACACCTAGCTCCAGCAGACAAGAGTCCTTTGTCCCACCCTGGTCATTCACAGATATATAAACCCAAAATTGGCAAAATATGGCTATGTTGAGAGGTGATTAGTTGTCCCTGATTGTTTTCCCTCTGCTGTTTTGCTGTTTTCATTTTAGTTGTTCAGTCGAAACATTCACACCTAGCTCCAGCAGACAAGAGTCCTTTGTCCCACCCTGGTCTTTCTGCAGGTATATAACCCCAATTTTCCTAGTTCCAACAGACCTCACTACCTCTGAGGATGCTCGCCATAGATGCAGGCGAAAGGTCAGGAGAGAATGCTTCTAGAACATGGCCATATAGCCCAAAAAACCTACAACAACCCAAAACAAGATCTATATATTTTAAGGTAATGGTGGGTGAAAAAGTAATGCCTCCATTGCTCTAACCTTTCTTTCTTTCACAGCTACTATCTATGCATGATATGATAGAAGTAACCTTACTCTACTGATACCGTTTTTTTCGTTTTCTGATTGACTGATTAAAACTATGAATCTGAAGCTAAAAGAAAGAGTCAACATTGAATTTCTGGCCAAAGAAGGTTGTGCACCTAAGGAAATGCATCGTCGCTTAAAGAATGTTTATGATTTGGCAGCTTCTGAGTTTTACCTGAAAGACAACCTACGTGGTTTCAGATTCAATGAGCCGGGCTTTAGCACAGCTGGTTAATCACCAGCAGCAATAGATCTTACCAATTGAAAGGCTGGCAGTTTGAAGCTTGGGACTTTCTGCCTAGTTTACTGTCCACCTAAGCAGTTCGAAAACGGTTGTGAGCTGTGAGTAGAGAAATTAGGCACCGCTTAAGCGGGGAGGTATTGTACGGCACCATAAAAAGAAATCCGGGAAGCGGCGTGAGCTCCCGCTGTTAGCCCCAGCTTCTGCCAACCTAGCAGTTCAGAAACAATAGGTCCTGGGAAGGTAACAGTGGGATGGTAATTGTGATCCATACAGTCATGCCAGCCACATGACCTTGGAGGTGTCTATGGACAACGCCGGCTCTTCAGCTTAGAAATGGAGATGAGCACCAACCCCCCAGAGTTGGTCACGACTGGACTTAATGTCAGGGGAAAACCTTTACCTTTACTATAAAAAGAAATTCCAAAAAATGCCAGTGATCAAAAGAAGGAGGAAGTCTGTGATCAAGGCTCTTCACCATAGCGGATGGAGCGACAGCACCCCCCTGTGGCCGGAATCAAGCACAACCTCCAGGACGCCGAAGTTGGGAAAAATGTCAACATAATACCCTATTTCCCTGAAAATATACAACCTCATTTTGAAGGTGCATCTTCCTAGTAGGCAACCCCCAGATTCCATAGGAATCCTGGGCATTAAAATAATTGTATAGTGTGAAAAGGACCACAACTTTGTCCTTCACAGTATTCCAACTGGTTGGATTCTTGTTCTGGATTACAAATTTGATCTGCGGGATTAGGAGCAGGCAACACAAGCAGACACTCCTGTCTCCTATTTTGATACGAATCTCTCCTTGTGTTGAGCAGTGGTCACTCTGTGCCCAAATATGTCAAAGGCACCAGATTATCTACCACTGTGTTAGTCAAGTATTATGAGGCCACTCTGGTATTTCCGCATTGCCTGTCTCGCTATACTGGATCTTTGAGCTGATGGAGACTGTAGTCCAGAACATTTGCCCTCCACCCCATATTAGAAAAGACTCTGAGACACCAAGTCCTCCAACCCATCATGGGATTGCTTCTTGATGCTCTCCACTTCACTGACAACAAAAGGCAACCTTCTTCAGTCCGGACAGGAGGCACCTCAGGATGAATGATGGGTGACGGAGTCCAACAACCTCCTAAGGGACCCAAGCTGGGAAAGGCTCTTCCAGATTCTGAACTCTCTTGGTCGAAGGGCCACCTAGGCATCCATGGGAAGTAGGCACAAGGTCTCTTTCAAGGCTAGTGCGGATTGGCCTTGGATTCTCACCTGTTTCTGTGTCTCATGCTCCTGCCCGCCATTGGGGGAGGTTGGCCGACTGCGCTCCGACGGCTTGGGCTGAGAGTGCTCTCGGCTTCCGTATCGGTCGCAGGAGTAGAAGCGCTGCTTTTCGGAGGAAGAAGAGGAATGAAGCTTCCGTTCTTGGGACCGACCCCGCTCTTGCTTCTTCACTTTGGATGCAGGATCAGCTCCTGGAAGAACCAAAAGGAAACCCACTGAGTGACACCAGCTCATGAATTATTATTATTATTATTATTATTATTATTATTATTATTATCATCATCTATATTTATATACCTCCTTTCTCAGTTCAAGGGCAACTCAGGGCGGTTTACAAAAGTCCAGAAGGCTGACTTCTGAACTATTATATTTATTTATTATTTATTTACAGCTTTTATATTCCGCCCTTCTCACCCCGCAGGGACTCAGGGCGGATTACAGTGTACACATATATGGCAAACATTCAATGCCAATTTTTGACATACAAACATATACAGACATACACAGAGGCTATTTAACGTTTTCTGGCCGCCAGGGGAGCTGTCGCTTTCATCGTCCATCTGCGACGCTGATGAAGCACTTCCGCATTCCCCGCATGCTTCCCGCTGGAATGCTTTGCTGGAGTCTTCTTTATGGCCTCATAAATTAGTTAATTTAGCCTCTTCACACTTTTAAGGTGGTACCTAATTTTCCTACTTGACAGATGCAACTGTCTTTCGGGTTGCAAAGGTCGACAACAGGCTACACACAATTGATTGGAAACCCACTCCAAACCGGGCTGGCTTTGAACTCATGACCTTTTGGTGAGAGTGATCTTAATGCAGCTGACACTCAGCCAGCTGCGCCACAATCCCGGACTACTTTTAAACTAAATTATACTTTTAAGATGGCCAACCCACGTGAACCCAGTCACTATTTATTTATCATGTCAGGAGCAAACCAAACAGTTGTATTGCATTTTTTAACAAACAAACAAACAAAACACAAAGTTTGCAAGCTTGGTAGTTGATTAAAAGTCCTTTGACCAGTAGCTGGCCACTTGGAGTGCCTCTGGTGTTACTATAAGAAGGTCCTCCATTGTGCATGTTGCAGGGCTCAGTGTGACGGTGTGAGTGGCGCCACCTATGTATGGAACTGTTAGTTGCAAGATTTAAACTGTTGTATCATGCTTAATCCTGCCCCTTTTTACCCTGCTTATGTATAGTTGTATGGATTGGTTACTTATAGCTGTCAATCAGTACTGTTTGGCTCCACCTCTTCCTGCAGGAGGGGAGTGCTTCCTTTCTTTTCATTCTGCCATCAGAGTTCCTACCATATGGACGTGAGTAAGAGACTTGACTCTAAAAGACCCTGATTTAAGTTACCTCTCAGCACCAGTTCTGAGGTTTTTTACCCTTGAGACTTGTGCTTCATGTTCAGACCAACCTGAACAACGTTGGAAGTCTCAAGCGCCTTCAAACCGGTTCTTTTGGCACCAAAGGAAGATCCTGAGTCTTCAAACATAGGCCATCTGAACTGGGGTTGTGGTTTGCTCTGGCATTCACAGCCATTGAGGAAAGAGGAAACTTGGAAAGGCTTCTCAGCGTCAAACACCTTGGACCCAGGACTAATTGAGACTGTAACGTATATTTTCCTTCACCCCTCTGAAGTTTCCAGCTCATTGCTTTAAAGAAATAACTCTTTGTGATCAATAAAACTTATTTTGAGTTATTTACAGCATTTTGGGTTTTTGAGAGTTCCAGTTTCCTATAGGAGGGCAAGAAGCAATCCCTTGGGGGAAAAATGCTACGTCCATCCCTCCTTCATTAAGAAGGTGGTCAGTGGTTTGCTCTTCTCCACACTCGCATGCCGTGGACTCCACTTTGTGGCCCCATTTCTTAAGGTTGGCTCTGCATCTCGTGGTGCCAGAGCACAGTCTGTTCAGCGCCTTCCAAGTCGCCCAGTCTTCTGTGTGCCCAGGGGGGAGTCTCTCATTGGGTATCAACCATTGATTGAGGATCTGGGTTTGAGCCTGCCACTTTTGGACTCTCGCTTGCTGAGGTGTTCCAGCGAGTGTCTCTGTAGATCTTAAAAAACTATTTCTTGATTTAAGACATTGACGTGCACGCTGATACCCAAACAGGGGATGAGCTGGAGATGTGACTGCCAGAAGCGACCAGAAACCCAGTCACTGAAATTAATTAATGAAAATCATGGCAGCTTATCTCCACATTTTGATTAATCCCACCCAGAGGAGAGCTTTGGTGACTGCAAAATGTAACATGTTGCTATCAGCTCTTTTGGACGGAACAAAAACGTTGAGTGTTCCAAAAGAGGTTTTTTTTTGTTTTTGTGACTTGGTCTCTGTTGAAACATTTCCCCATTCTTTGTTTGTAAATATGATATTATATAGATGAAATACAGGAATTCCATTTTTCCACAGGTTTCTCAATGGCAAGGGTGTTATAAAGTTCCACACCTTCTGAACAACTCTTTTGGTGAGACTGTTACACACTCTCAGTTGCAGTCTTACCTGCTGTTTCTACTCTAGAGGAGATACTCAGCTGCAGTCCCTGGCAGGTGCCTGCATGCCACACACACACACTTTTTTCCAAGGACAATGCATATGTGGTATGCAGGAGTGCCGTGTCTGCCAGAACCTGCAGCTGAGTGCCTCCTCTAGAGTAGAAACAGCAGGTAAGAAGAAGCCTCCTTAAAGCTCATGCCAGGAAGGGAAGCATGGGTGGGAAGCACCAGAGAGTTCCAAGGTTGTTCTCTGCTTGGCTTGTTCTCACAGTATTATTGTGGGAGAGTAAGTGGCTTGGAGAAGGAAGGAAACAACACATTTCACTCACCAGGAGCATCGCCGTCAGCCATGTGGTTGGGCGGCTTGTCCACAGACTTTTGTTTCCTTTCTTTCCTTCGGTGGCAGCGATGGTGGTGATGGTGATGAGTGTGTTCAGCTGGTCGGGAATGTTCATAGAGGTGTGTGGCATGGGGACGCTGTGGGTTCAACGTGGAGATGGAACGCTTCATGGGACTTGTGTCCGGGATGGGCTGCAGACAAAGGTGGGGTGGAAATAGAAGGAGAAGAGGTTCAGTGGATGCAGGATCTAATCACACCTAACACTTCTCCCCATCCTCAGAAGGGCAGTAGGAAAGATACAGTGCATTATAGGGTTCTGGCCCAGCTTACTTGTCTGAATGCATCTGCCTCGTAATCTAAGAGCCGCCGCAAACTAGGTTCCTGCGGGAGCAAACCTTGCTAGCATCCCTGACGTCATGAGCCTGCGCCTCTCTCCCCGCCCCTTTCTCTTTGCCAGCGTGGTTTTTCCTTTGCTAGGGCAGCATTGCCCGCATTTTCTCTCAGTTGAATTCTGCCAACTGAGAGCCGTCGCAAACTAGGTTCCTGCGGGAGAAAACCTTGCTAGCATGTCCCTGACGTCATGAGCCTGCGCCTCTCTCCCCGCCCCTTTCTCCGCCCCTTTCTCTTTGCCAGCGTGGTTTTTCCTTTGCTAGGGCAGCATTGCCCGCATTTTCTCTCAGTTGAATTCTGCCAACTGAGAGAGTATGCTGGCAATGCTGCCCTAGCAAAGGAAAAACCACTCTCGCAAGGAGAAAGAGGCGGAGAAAGGGGCGGGGCGAGAGGCGGAGTCTCATGACGTCAGGGACATGCTAGCAAGGTTTGCTCCCGCAGGAACAGAGTTTGCGACGGGCCTGAGAGAGTATGCTGGCAATGCTGCCCTAGCAAAGGAAAAACCACTCTCGCACGGAGAAAGAGGCGGAGAAAGGGGCGGGGCGAGAGGCGGAGTCCCATGACGTCAGGGACGTGCTAGCAAGGTTTGCTCCCGCAGGAACCTAGTTTGCGACGGGTCTAAGATCATCTGGGGAGGCCCTGCTCTTGCTCCCGTCAACATCGCAAATGCGTTTGGCGGGGACGAGAGACAGGGCCTTCTCAGCTGTGACCCCCCGCCTGTGGAACGTGCTCCCAAATGAAATACAATCGACTCCATCCCTCCTGGACTTCAGGAAGAAATTAAAATCACGGTTTTGGGACCAGGCTTTCAGCAGACATAATTAGCACTTTACCGGGACATTGACTGGAGTGGCGACACGGCTGAGGATACTGTTTTTAATTAATGTTGAATGTACTGTTTTGAGGATTGTTTTGTATTTAATTGTGGCTATATTATATTATTGTAATTGTCATGTAGCGGCAATGTACCGTGACTAAATGTAAGCCGTCCTGAGTCCCCCTTCGGGGTAGAGAAGAGACGGGGTAGAAATACCAGAAATAAATAAATAAATAAATCATTAAACTGTGGAACTCAAAGTAATTGAGTGGATAGTTCTGAGCAGGTTCAGACAAATTTCTGGAAGGGAAGGATCCCAGTGGAAATTATGGTTCTTATACCCCCCCCCCCACCCCCGGATATATTCTGATGGTGCCACAGTTGTTAAAGATCCCTTAGGACAGTGTTTCTCAACCTGGGGGTCGAGACCCATGGGGGGGGGGGAGTTGTGAGGGGTTGAAAACACAGTATTTTATGTTAATCATGAGGGTTCTGTGTAGGAAGTCTGGCCAAATTCTCTCATTGGTGGGGTCAGAGTGCTGTTTGATTGTAGGTGAACTATCAATCCCAGCAACTACAATTCCCAAATGTCAAGGTCTATTTCCCCCAAACTCCACCAGTGTTCACATTTGGACATATTGAGTATCCATGCCATGTTTGGTCCAGATCCATCATTGTTTGAGTCCACAGTGCTCTCTGGATGTACAACTCCAAAATTCAAGGTCAGTACCAACCAAACCTTTCCAGTATTTTCTGCTGGTCATGCTGGTTCTGTGTGCCAAGTTTGGCCAATTCTATCATTGGTGGAGTTCAGAATGGTCTTAGATTGTACTATAAATCCTAGCAACTACAACTCCCAAATGACAAAATCAATCCACCCCACAATTTGACCAGTATTCAAATTTGGGCGTATTAAGAACGTGTGCCAAATTTGGTCCAGTGAATGTAAATACATCTTGCATCTATATAAATAAAAATGTAATGTTAGTTTTTGGGATTAACAGAACTCAAAAACCACTGGACGAATTGACACCAAATTTGGACACAAGGTACCAAACATCCCAATGTATGTCCTTCACTCAAAAAATTGATTTTGTCATTTGGGAGTTGTAGTTGCTGGGATTTATAGTTCACCTACAATCAAAGAGCATTCTGAACCTCACCAACGATGGAATTGAACCAAACTTGGCACACAGAACTCCCATGACCAACAGAAAGTACTGGAAGGGTTTGGTGGGCAGTGTCCTTTGGTTTTGGGGTTGTAGTTCACCTACATCCAGAGAGCACTGTGGCCTCAAACACTGATGGATCTGGACCAAACTCTACACCAGTGGTTCTCAACCTGGGGTTCCCAGATGTTTTGGCCTTCAACTCCCAGAAATCCTAACAGCTGGTAAACTGGCTGGGATTTCTGGGAGTTGTAGGCCAGAAACATCTGGGGACCCCAGGTTGAGAACCACTGCTCTACACGAATCCTCAATATGCCCAAATGTGAACACTGGTGGAGTTTGGGGAAAATAGAATCTTGACATTTGGGAGTTGTAGTTCCTGGGATTTATAGTTCACCTACAATCACAGAGCATTCTCAACCCCATCCACGATAGAATTGGGCCAAACCTCCCACACAGAACCCCCATGACCACCAGAATGGGCCACAGCAACTCGTGGCAGGGGATGGCTGGTATCAGATATATTCGTAACAGTAGTAACATTACAGTTATGAAGTTGCAACAAAAATAATGTTATGTTTGGGGGTCACCACAACATGAGGAACTGGATTAAGGGGTCGTGGCATTAGGAAGGTTGAGAAACACGGCTTTAGGAGTGTGCCCCGTGAATCATGGCAACTGTATTTCCAACACAGGTTCCTTGGAAGTCTTGCAGTCCAAGATGTGGGAGCAGACAAACAAGTCAAAGGATTAGGAATGACAGTTGGACAAATGACTCCTTAAGCCCACTTTAGAAGACGCAACTGAGTTCAAGCAGGCTACATACTGCCAGGTAACGCCCCGGTGACCGCGTTTTGCTCCTCTGGAAGCAATCCGGACAGAAACAAGATGGGAAGCATCCCCAGTCAGTACAGCCATTGCCAGAAGACGATGATGATGATGATGACGGAAGTGAGAAGGGGCCAACGGTGAGAACGGGAAGGGAAGAGGGGTGAGGAAACAAGAGCAATCAGACAAGCCAAGGGGAGGAGGGTGGATGGAGACAAGACAGAAATGGATGTTAGTGCAATGTTATCTGTGGAACAAGGTGGAAGCCCAAGAGCGACAATCCAAACACTTGCATGGTTCGATATCAGATGAGATTTACCCAAATCTCTCTAGAACAAGGAAATGGAGGGAGAGGTGGGATGATCCATCAAGTACTAATACTGCTGTGCATCTCCCCAACCCGAAATCCCTTGAACATGAGTCAAGGCTGCACAGCAACAACACCTAGGAGGATTGCTATGAACCAAGTCGCCCATTGCAAAACACATCTGTCCCAAGTAAATACCTTATTGATGCAACATTTGGAAAGGAAGCTGGGTTGAATTGATGACTTCCTGTCGGTCCCCCATGGCCAGTTAAGCCTCCCACACTCACCTGAGTTTCGGCCGCCAAGCGTGGCATGGAAGCTGCCCGCCCCTGGCTCTCCAGGCCAAGTTGGTGTTCTCCATTGACCTGAGTCGGGCTGATCTCTCGCATTTCAACTCCCTACGAGGAACAGGAGCAGAAGCATAGTGTCCTGAGTTGCCCTTCAAAAAAACAGCCTTTAAACAATTTTGAAAGTAAAAGAAAAATGCTTTACTCCAGCAAACACAAAGGATAAGCAAATGCAATTGAAAAGTGCACAAAGAAAACAAGGAAGTCTTAATCCAGACACAAATTGAAGTCTCTTACAAAGTTCCAAAAGAAACACCAGTCTTCCATCAGACAATGGATGATAAACTAAGTTCTTAGCAGCAGACACAAAGCAGATTCCATAGGCGGGGAAACAGCAGTATCAGGGTCGTTGATACCAGTGAAAGCTGCCTCTGATTTATAGCCCTGAATTCACACAGGAGCTGCTAGGGCATCTCCCAATTAGCTTAGTGTTTTTAGTAGCTATTCTGGCTGAACGGCATCTGTGCTCTATCTCTTTTCGTCTCTCTAAAAATGTGGGCACTTGCAAACCCTCATCGTCTGATTCTTCTTCTCCCTCCAATTCTTGAGCACTTCCCTACTCCCCTTCCTCTTCCAAAGATGAGGAATCCCCAACACATAGCTGCTTAGTGTGGACTTTGTAAATCAAACTCTCAACAGACAACATGCCTCTGTAGGTATGCTAAGCACACTGGAGTCAGGAGCAGATTGCAAGATCCTCTCACCTGGCTTGGTTGAGTTCAGGTGCTCATCTGACCTGTTACATTTTGACTATTTTCACTCTAAGTCATTCCAACTGACCACATCATGGCCTAATATACCTTAGGGATGCTAGGGTCCTCTTCTCCTCTTCCTACCCTGAATCTCAGGATGAGAGCGCTGCCGCAAAGGTGTGTATGTATGTTCCTCAATTAGTAGACTTAGTGTTCATTCTTTGAATGGAATGCATCTGTTTAAAGCTTTATATATGCTGATGACCTTGGCCTAACAACACAAGCAAAAGACTTTGAAACAGTTGAAATCCAGCTTACTAATGCCTGAAAAGATCTCTCCAGCTACCTCAAAGATAATCCCCTGAAGCCTAACCCTGCCAAGACACGAGTGTGTGCTTTCCATCGACACAACCATGAAGCCAACAGGAAATTGAAAGTCACCTGGGAAGGTCAAGAGCTTGAACATTATTTCCATCCTAAACATCTCGGTGTCACTTTAGATCGAACACTAGCATATAGGAAACACTGCTTGAACACCAAGCACAAAGTAGCTGCACGCAATAACATCCTGCGGAAACTTACTGGCAGCACATGGGTGCAGACCCCAAATTAGTAAGAACATCAGCCCTGGCCTTGTCTTATTCAGCTACTGAGTATGGCTGTCCTGTTTTGGCATAAGTCTGCCCATGCAAAACAGGTAAACGTAGCATTGAATGAAACATGCAGAACAATCACAGGATGTCTTAAACCTACACCTGTTGATAAACTCTACAAGCTAGCTGGCATTGCCCCCCCGATGTGCGATGGGAAGTTGCTGCTAAATGTGAGAGAAATAAGGTTGAACACTGTGAAAACCACCCACTGCATGGCTACCAGCCTCCTCCCAGTAGACTAAAATCGAGGAAAAGCATTATGAGAACTACCACTCCTCTTGGCGTCCCCCCTGGGCAGCTAGACCAGGAAATCCCAACTGGATGCCCCCCACGAGGGAGGGTCTTCCTCCAGGGGCAAACCAAGAATGGGCAACTTGGAAGTCCTGGAACAGACTCAGAAGTGGAGTGGGCAGAACAAAAGACAACCTGGCAAAATGGCACGATCTAAAAGAATCCCACACCTTGTGTGACTGAGGAGCAGAATAGACAACTCTGCATCTGTATGCTTGTCCATTATGCCCTGCCTCATATACAGAGGAGGAATTGTTGGAGGCTACAGACAGTGCCATTGCTGTTGCCAGTTTTTGGTCAAAAGACATTTAGTCACCTGCGCTCCTTCTATTTTTATCAGTTGTATACTAATTTATGCAATGCTTTTGATATGAAATAAATACATAAATCTGTTCAAAGTCTTGTGCTTAATGGGATCATGAGGGGCTATCACCAGGGTTTGGCTTCTGGGGTGTTACAAGAGCTTGTCTCTAGTAGGGTTGTGTGTGGAACTGTTTTCCTTTGTTTTATCTGTTCTTTCGTTACCTTTGGGAGCACGCAATGGGAAAGCCCCTCCCGGTACAAAAATCAGATTATGACGAAAGCAAGTGGGAGCATGTGGTGTTCCATGCCTCTTTGCCTTGGAAAGAGTGTGTGTGAGGCATGCAGGCCCAGAAACCATGTGCACCTGCCTGCAGTCATGTGCCTCCTCTAGAGTAAGAATGAAAACTTGCCTCATTGCCTTGGAAAGTGTGTGCAGGCCCAGAAAGCATAAGTGCCTGCCTGCAGCCGCCTCCTTTAGAGTAAGAAACAGGTAAGAAGCTTCCTTACAGCACACACCTGCCTGCAGCTGAGCACCTCTCCTCTAGAGTAAAACAGTTTAAATGCCTAAAATGATGGGAAGGGGCTCCTGGGAAGCCCCCCTATAATGGACCAATAGAAAACAAATCTTTTGGCAGAGTGAAAACTGATATCTGTCCTCCCAATTTCAGGAGGCTCCCAAAAAATTGATCGGGGCCCCCACCGAAAGCCAGGCATGAAACAGGTCAAGGTTTACCCTGAATGCACAACCCTAGTCTCTAGGATTCAGGTGATGGCCCTGAAATTTGAAGATCTGAGACAGTCCTGGCATGGCAGCCCTAAACTAGGGCATTTTAAAAGCAGCTCCAAGAGTGGGATGACAGGGAATTTATTTGGATCGTCCCTGCCCAACTGAAACGGTTGGAAGGTTTGAAGGAGGAACCCTCTTCTAGGAGCGTTCCCTTCTTCCTGTCCCACTCATCCTGCTGAATGTTCACCTGTTTGCTTTTCGGTTGGATGGAACTTTCTTCAGAACGGCCACGCTCAAAAGCTGGTGTCCTTGTTTCATAAAACACATCCTGGGTCCGCTGAGTGCCCCATGAGACAGATTCTTTGATGCCTCCTACCTCTGGCGTTGGCCTGTTAGAAAAGAGAGACATAGCAGAAATATTAGGATTCTTGAGATATATGTGTGTGTGTGTGTGTGAATGGAGAAATGGATGAGTCTCCTCACTTCCTGGGATAGCTCTAGCCCTAACTTATGGTCTTATATGAGGGCAAGAAAAAGATATTTCTGCCTACTCACAGTGCACCTCCATTGTTTAGCGAAGCAGAGCTCTTCTGCCGCAGGAAAGCATTGGGGAACACTGGTTGGCTTTGCTCAAGGGCTGCTTTCAATGGCTGGAAGAGAGAAACGGTCCCAGTCTGCAAGAAAACAAAGAGAACATTGTGTTATCATGCATACTATAGAGCATGGAGAATTCTTTGCCAGAGAGCTCTAGGGCATCATCAAACTATAGACTGCAGAATCCCATAGGATGTTGCTATAGAACTTCAATTGGAATACTACTGCTATAAGCATGCAATGTGAACAAGATTTGAGTTAGAGGTTTAGCCATTTTTGGAGGTTTGGGGAGAGGGATTGCAAGCCTAAGACAAACTTATGGCAACCCGAAGGCAACTCCAAAGCAACTCTAGCATTCATGACAATCCTAAGACGACCCTACCCACTTATGGCAACCCTAAGGCAACTCTAAAGCAACTCTACCATTCATGACAATCCTAA